CTATTCTAATTCAGGCCCCTACATTCTGTTGCAAGGCCAAGGCAGCAAATGCTGCCCAGCTCGATCGACAGCGCCAGGTCCAGGAGGCATTTGACAGATTAGTAGAAGATACCCATAGGCCCTAAAGTAGTTCGTTTTTGGGGGCTCATATTTAGAATCCTATAAAGTAATCCCAAAAAGGAACTACTATGGGGCCTATGGGTAAGTAGAAGATACTTGGAGGAGCATGGGACTTAGTAAGTAGGGTTATAAGTACCCTAATTGGGGTTATAAATAACTATAAGTCTAGTTACCGTATTTAAAACCGTAGTTACTAAGTCCCATGAACCTCTAAGTAAGTAGAGTCAAGCATATCTTAGCCGGGCTTTGAGACCGCATGATTCCTGGAACCTGCACAATACTGCAAGTCTGGCGTTACTGTACGACGTCAACTGCCTAAATCCTGCAGGCCTCACAGCTCCCGGTTGCAACTTCATCGAACTCCAGACTAAATCCTGCATCGGCGGCTTGGAATCCGAAATCCCATGCTCTAAACCCCTGCAGTCCTTGAAGGATGAAGTAAGTTATAATTCGTTATGAACACCCTGGGTGACGTAATCCTGACTTTGTCGTCAGAACCTGACTACTAAGTCCCCTGATCCTTTAAGCAACAGACTCCCAAACACCCTTTGAAGAAGAACATGACCTGAAGCAGTTCATGGTCACGTGCCGCTTTGTGTGCTCCTGTTAAAGGATCTCAGAAAGGGAACCCTCGTCCCTTTCGTGGTTGCCTTATAAGATCCTAAATAAATATGCAGTTGATGAACCAAAAAGGGGCTTACAAACCCTAAGCCCTAAACCCTGGGCCTCAAGCCCTGAACCCTAAACCCTTGTAGGTAAAGCAAGGCCTACCCTTGAGGCTCATAAACTCTCATCAGAGCTCCCCAAATCCTTGGAACATAGAGGATACCAGGAGTCGAAGCCCCCAAGAGCAATAACGGCAAAACCCAAGAGCTAGGGACCGACTGTTGGAGAAGGAATTTAGTGTTGACTGAGGGTTTAGGGTAATAACGACCGAATAGATATAGGTCTTCGTGATTAAGCTTGCACCTGTCCTTTCTCGCAAAGTCTTGGTGCCAAAGCTGTTGGAGCCGTGAAGCCTTCAAAGGGCTCCAAGGGTGGGATGAAGCTGGGTGGGGTGATCCCAAACAAGATTCTTGGTATAAGGGATCCTTAGTCAATCCTAGCTACCGACATCCCAGCTTTGAGGCCTCCCAGTTGAAGCCTATAGAGCCTCGAGGCAAACCCAAAGCTAGCCTTCTTCGCGAAACCAAGTCAACAGAACTGGGAAGGCACAGGAAGCCGCGCAGGAACAGATCGCAGCCGGCCTAGACGATCCCTGCCTTTTAGGTCATAGAGCCTTTCGCTTTCAGGTTGCGGCTTGATCGGCTTGCCTTGGGTGTGGAGGTTTGGTCGTACATGTCCATGCTAATTACAGAGCACATGTGGTCTCGAGTTTCGTGATTCCGGGTTGATAGCTGAGGATTTATCAGGACATCCTCCGGCGATGGAGCCTTCGCATAGTGCTGGCGTCGCTTTACAATGACGCTTCTTTTTTTGAAGACTATAGCAAACACCAAGGCAGGACGATAAACCGCACAATAACAGTTTATATCTCTCCAGGCTATGTAACAGAATGCACCGTCGAATCTAGTTCGTTTTGCTTGCGCTCGCTCTCCCTCGCACCCGCCCTCTCTCTCTCCCTCCCTCTCTCTCTCTGTCTCATTCTCCCTTTGTGCGAGCGTCCGCAACCATCACCTCTGTATTTGCAGATGCACCGAACACATCCTCCGCGCATGCAGCGGAATCATTACTAGATCCATACTCCAATAGTCTGAGGGCCTAGGGTCTTATATTACTCGGAATAATGGTTTGTACATTGCAACTGTTCAATGCGATCCTGAATGGGGGCACGGTGTTCGACCAAGTGGGCCTATTGCAACCACGTTGAAGCTCCCCCCCAAGAGACGAAATCCCTTAGGTCAGAGACATGCTCAACTTGCAGAGAGCGGCGGGCTATGGCGGCAGGGGGCCAAGCTCCAGGAACAAGGTGGAAGGCTTCCCAATGTGGAGGCCTGAATCATCAGCAACCGCATCCCTGGTAGTCCCTATATGATTCATAAGGGATTATATACTTCAAGTCACCTCACAAGCCAATTCGAATTAGTAAGACCCCTGTTTTAGTTCTCCAATTTCCCAAATCAAGGCCCAAGCCCTGGAATCGAAGCACAAGCTCCGTGCCCTATTGGGGCTTTCAAGTTTTGGGGGTTAATTTAGGGTTTAGGGTTCAAGGTTGGGCCACTCTGCACTTCAGGGCCTTGCTGGCTTACTGTCTAAGCTGCACGATATAGAGGCCTGAGTAGTAGAGTTTAGGTGTTTCGGGGTTTAGGGTGTAGTATTCCTCACTGAAGGCGCCAAAGCAGGCGCAACCCGGAACCTGCCCCTTTTGGGAACTCAACTCTCCACATCCTTCGCCCGTTTCCATAAAACCCGTATCCCCTCGGGTTTAGGGCTTCTAGGGTTTTAGGGTAATTACAAGCTGTAGCGACAAAGCGTGCCCTAAGCCAGCAAAGCGCTGGAAGACAACTCGGAAACCTAGGCCCGATAGTACACCCTGACCCCTAAACCCGAACCCTTGAATCCTTCCAAAGTGCATACCTGAAACCTTCGATTTTTCTGCCTTGAGCTCGTAAACCTCTATATAAACAGAAACCCTAAACCTCAAACCTTTAACTTAAACCCAAAACCCTAAACCCTAAACCCCACAACCCCAGCTACTGAGGTGGGGCGGATGCCGCAGCCGCATTGCGCCTCCAGGCGGCCCATGCGGCGCAGGAGCGGATCCGAGTTTGGTCTTCCTGCTTAGGGGTTTAGGGGTTTAGGATTTAGAGTTTAATTAGGTTTTAGGGTTTAGGGGCTTAGGGCTTTTAGGGTTTTGGTGGTTTGGGTTTTGGGGTTTCTTGTGTTGTGGTGCTTTTGGGTTTTAGGGTTTGGGCGCTTTAGGGTTTGTAAGGGTTTTAGGGTTTGGGGTTCGGGTTCTGGTTTGGGGTTTAGTGGAGTGTCCATGCAAAACTCTTAGAGTTTACAAAAGGGTTGGCTTAGGGTTTAGGATTTTAAGGGCTGAGGGCTTATGGTAGAGGTCTGAAGAGGCAGTGCTATCTTGTAGTCCGAAGCAGCATGCAGGCAGCTATATCAGGTGCGTTGAGGGTTACCGGTTGGGGACTACGGGTTCATAGGGTGGTGCCTTAACGTTTCACGTTTCAGAGAGGCGGAGTGGGAGTTGTTGTTTTGCTTTGCGGCACACTGGGTCGTTGAAGCTTTGCTGCATCAATGCCAGGGTTCGTGTCGCCGTCCAGGTTGGAATCCCGTAGAGGCCTTAATAAGTGTAATAGAGGGGCCCCCAAACCCTATTCTAATTCTTAAGGCCCCTATATTAACAAGGTTTCGAGGTCTAGTGTTTGGGACTTCAAGCGAAACTACTCCGACTGCCTTTATGAGTTTTCTTGGTGATAGCTCAGAGGCAATGAGGGGTGGTGGCCGTGCCAGCTCCTTCACTCAAAATGGCGCTGAGGATCTTGCATACATGCCTCTGCCCCTGTATTTTTCTGGGATTTTCCTGATCGTTCCTCTCGAACTCTCTGATAAAATGTTCCCCAAAGCCCAAAACTCCAGAACCCATAAAGCCTACTTAGACTAGGGGTCCCATAAACTCTGCCTGTGTAACGCTAGGGGTTTAAGGTTTTTATGTTTCAGATGTTTAGGCCTTGGGGCTGGCTTCATTAGTCAGTTGCCTCTTCGACAATACTACAAGACCTTTGAGAAAACCCTAAACCCTAAACCCTAAACCCTAAACCCTACAAACACGCGTAAGTGCTAGCAACCCAGTGAGGTCATTGTACATGATACGGTAAACTACAAACCCCTACACTTTCAAAAACAACTACAAACCTAAGACCCTTGTGGTGGCCCTTCCAGGAACCCTTTCTGCTTGTTGTTTTGCCTTTTATTCCTTTGAGCTACTAATAATAGTAGTAATAACAATATTGATAATAAAAATAATGATAGTAGTAAAGAACCCCTAAACCCTAAACCCTAAACCGTATTGGTGATTATGAGCTTCCCGTGGAGGCCAAGGCAATGGTCCAGCAGCAGCGCCAACAGCAGCAGCAGCGAGAGCAGTCCCGGACTGAGGGTTCAGGGCTTCCGGGTTTAGGGTTTAGGGTTTAGGGATTAGGGTTCAGGGCTTCCGGGTTTAGGGTTTAGGGATTAGGGTTCAGGGCTTCCGGGTTTTAGGGTTCTGAAAAAGGGATCCAAAACTTTAGGTTTTCCTTTGAGAGATCTATAAGGGTACTATGAGGGTAGTAAGGGGCTTGGGGTTTCCAGGTTTGGGGTTCTTATAACTTACAAGGGATCAAAAGAGATGCCTTTGAGGGATCTGTGAGGGTACTCCCTAAACCCTAAACCCCTAAACCCTAAACCCTAAACCCTAAACCCTAAACCCTTTAGGATAGGCTTCGGGCTTCCGGTGTATCAGGGCCGAGGGCTTTTGGTGGTTTTGAGGTTTATAGGAGGTGTATGGGTTCAGAGCAGGGTCGAAAGCGGAATCCGGTGAGAGATGTCTAGATCGACTTAGTCTTCTTGTTCCGATTCTCGAGAACCATGTGCAGTAGAACCAGGGTCAGCGCATCTAAGGGCTCTCCTCCTCGGAGCTTCGACGCAGCAGGACAGAGGGGCTTCGGCTCCTGCGAAGTTGGGGTGATGCAGCGCGCACTCCAAGTATGTGGGGACTTCCGAAAATAGGGGACCCTAAAATAGCACCCTAAATAGTAGGATCCTTATTATAAGGACCCCTAAATAAGGTACCCCCTATTTTGGGAAACTCCCATGTTGTTGAACATTTGTATCAACGGCATCGGCGCTTGTCAAAGTATGGGGGCACCCCGCATTCCAATTAATGGAGAGGATGGAACAACTCGCCTGCGACAAGGGACATGTGCTATGCTCGTGTTGGCAGTCCCTTCCACACTCCACTTCTACCGCAATTAGGGCTACAGTTTCCTGCGCAAACCCCGCACTATCCCGCACTCCTGTTGAGTGGGCCTAGCTGTACTTAGGCTGCAGATCCATGCTCCGCCACGCGGCAATGCTGAAGTATATACAACAAAGTGCAGCAAGGAGGTGTTGGCAGGCTATGCAGGAAGTCAATCTCCTAAGCCTGTGCTCGGTGAGGTTTTTTCCGTCAGATTTGAGTTGGACTTCCCTTGTTGGGAGCTAGGATTAGGGGGACCCTTGGGGATATAGACCCTCTCAAGAAGGTCCCTTTTAAGAGAGCCAAAAGTAGGGTTCAGAAGGGGTACCCTCTAAGGGGTACCCCTAATAATACTACCTACTTGTCGGCAGACGCAAGCACCTTACAAAGACAAGCCCTTTCAGAACGCTGTGCGGAGGAGCTCGCGAGACGAATGCAGCTGTACGAACAGGCTCAACAAGCTCAGAATGGCATGCAGCTTCTTGAGGAGAATGCTGTAAGGGCCCCGGAGCGGACCCGAAGAGCGGACCATGGATTTCAGAGATTACCCTATACACCTACGGAATCCCTAAAATCTTAAATCCCGAACTCCTGAACCGTTATGATCCTCAAACCTTAAAAGAAGCCAATCGCCAGCTCAGCCACTAAGGCGCGGCTGCAAGAGCAGCGGCAGCGACAGCAGCACGAGGCATGCAAGTGCTTCGGGCCAGAGTTGTTCCTGAAAGGGATATGAAGGGTTCTTTTCACGGTCGATGCCTTCAGTGCTCTGCGGCCGTTTTTGCAGCTTCCGATGTTTTTCCGGCAACACACCTGACAACATCAGGGCAGTCGCACAACCCGTAAATGCAGTCAGGTTGTATTCCGACCCGAACTCCATGTTGGCTTGAGAGGCGGCTTCGCAACCAGCATGCATCATCACCACAATCATGCCCAGCGTCCAAACGCGGATACGGTGATGACCAACAGCAACAGCATGAGCATCTAGTGTACCAGCTCATCGGCTTGTATCTAGAACAGATCTTTGCATGATCACAACGAACAAGCACACCGCTGCATCCAGAAGTGTGTGCAACAGAATATGTGTCTATGGGATATATGCGCTTGTGTGTACATTGCAGACAGGCATACGCACGTGCAGATGAATGTACATCCGCCAAGACCGCTACACGGCTAGTTTGTTGTGATAGTTTGTGTTGAGGTGAACTGTGCACTGGCGCAGCAGGAGTTAGAGCTCGCAGCTAGAGATGAGTTGAACAAGTTTGAAAATATTCGAATCGTAGCCGTCAGATTCCCATGGGAGGCGAAGAAGCTGGCGCAAGCGCAGCAAATGGCAGCTGCAGGCACTTTGTCGTTCTTTTCGGGGAGTTCTTTTCGGGAGTTGCTTCCGAAAGCATAAAACGGCCCGGTACATCTTTGACACTCCTTGGCCTTACAGGAGCCGTAACCTCCTTCAGGGAGCCTTTGTTGGCTGTGCAGTTTACCAGGTGTGTGTATGTGTATTAAAAAAAAAATATATATACACACACACACATGTATTTATATACGATGTGTTTATATGTTTCTGACTCTCTACCACATATCCTTTTACAGGGCACGAGCTTGGTTTGCCGCCTTGCGTGGCTGACTCGGTGAAGCGGCGTAAAGGTGGCTTCGTGAACTTGTGAGGGCAAGCGTAGGACCACGACAGATTTAGACGAGCTCAGAGGCAGATGTTTGAGATTGAAAAATCAGGGACCCCCACACTTATGGACCCCCAAATCATCGAATCTTTGACAAGGTCCTCCTGATCAGTCTTAAGAATGCCCCCGCCCTATGAGAGTCTCAAAGCGCTCTCTTTTTTTCCCCTAAGCCCTAAACCCCAAACCAGATCCCCCAGTCGATCTCGAAGGCCACCAGCGTCAACAGCAGCAGCAACAGCAGCAGATGCAGGGCATGGGGGCCAGTGGCAGCCTCAGCTTTGTTCAAGAGGGGCCTTTAGGGTTGAGGCGTTAGGGTTTAGGGTTTAGGGTTTAGGGTTTAGGGTTTAGGAGCTTTGTTCCACAGGGACCTTTATGGCTGAAGTGAGGGGGTGAGCCGTGACTGGACTCAGAGCCCGACATGCTTGGAACTTGATCCTATGCGTTTGCCAGTAAGTTGTTTGTTAGTATGAACATCTTCTAGCCTGAGCCATTTTCAAAGTCAGAAACCTGAAGGCGCTCATGGGCAGAAGCAGGCCTGTCCGGCGACTGGCAGGGGCCTTGGCCATGTAACCAAGCAAGGGTCACACGTTCCTGGGATTGCCATGGAAGGAGGCCCTAAACCCTAGATTTGAACTCCGTTTCGCGGGTGGAGGGTTGGGTGAGTGGCTGCAGTAAACTCACCTCAACTTCCTCGCAGGGAAAGCCAATCCGTCCGAAGTTCACTGAATACAGTGCTGGCTACGAGCACCATTATCGCCACAGCGACGATGCACCGACAGCAGCAGCTCTCGCCGAAGACTACTGCATGAACAACAAGGGCACAATCAGGAACAGAAACTTCAGAGCAGCAGGTACAGCAACCACTGCTGCATGAAGCAACCACAGCAGCAGCATCAGCAACATCATCAACAGCAGCCGTAGCAAGACAGCATCAACAGCACGAGCACCAGCACCAGCACCACAGCAAGCACGACAGAACTTCATAGCAATAGTAGCCACAGCCGCGCACGATTTCATCGTCAAGACACCTAGCCTCGTCGGCGCTGTTGCCCGCATCCCCCTGCTCCTGCTCCTGCTCCTGCTCCTGCTCCTGCTCCTGCTCCTGCTCCTTCTCCTGCTGCTGCTGCTGCTGCTGCTACTGCTACTGCTACTGCTACTGCTACTGCTACTGCTACTGCTACTGCTACTGC